TGTTTGAGAGGGAGCAAGCAAAGCAGAATCAAGAAAATCAGTTTTTATTAGAAGCTCATCGAACTTTTCAGACAATGAAAAAAAATCTGAGTACTTCAGTACCAAATCAAATTGTTCTATGAAGTCCATGGAATCAGCAAAAACAGTGGCGCTAATGATGTCACGACACACCACACTATTCTAAACATTTAACATACAGCTCACTGTTTAATCCTCACTTTATTTTATTTATTTATTTATTTTTTTGGAGACACAGTCTCAAGCTATCACCCTGGGTAGAGTGCTAAGGCATGTTGGCTCACAGCAACCTCCAACACTTGGGCTCAAGTGATCCTCTTGCCTCAGTTTTTCTATTTTGGTAGAGACCAGGTCTCACTCTTGCACAGGCTGGTCTCGAACCTGTTTCCACCCTGAAACCACCCTCAAGCAATCCACCTGCCTCAGTTTCCCAGAATGCTAGGGTTACAGGCATGAGCCACCACGCCTGGCCTCCTCACTAATTTTATGAAACAAATTACTGTCTCTATTTTACAGATGAGTATACTAAAACACACAGAAGTTAAACTTGTTTAAAATCAGTAAGCTGCAGAGCTAGGTTTCAAAACTATACAATTCTGAAAAACTAAGGTCAAAGAATATAGTCAAACTGCATTCGTTTTATGAAAAAAGAAGGTCAAGGAGTCAAAAAATAAACAAAAACTTGGAAAAAATGTTTTTTTAAATCAATTCAAAAGATCTATAATCCTTAACCTATGGAAAGAGTAAAACTGTTTTTAATAATCGGAAATTCTAGTAATTACAAGCAGTTATTTTCTCTTGTCAAATATCCTAATGAAAGCCTAATGATAAACAATGTTTAAAGTAATCATTCTTCTATTGTGTCAAAGAAAATTATGCACTTAAGAATAATGGTCAGATTAAAACTACATATAAACATTAAGAACACTTGTCATTTTAAAAGCCCTGGGCAAGGCCAACTTTAATAGTCACCAAGAAAGCACAGAGTGGGCAGTGCACACAGAAGACTATGATACTGTGGGCAGTATCAAAATTGGGTAATAGTAAAGTAATCATATGCATTTTTTTCAAAATGATAACTATCCAAAATACATAGGGCTCCAATCACGGCACAATGGTAAATACTATGAGCCATTAATAAACGACTATGATAAATTGGTTATAAACCAATGTTATGTATAAAGTTGTTTTGACAAAAATATCTGGTTTTCTACTACCAGAACTTTGAAGCACTGTTCCACAATAAGCACTTCTTAGCTTTGTAAACAAAAAGGCTAAGACATTAGTTTTTAAATTTTTTTGTTTTTAGCAAACAACACATACCAAAACAAATATACCACCTCCCAAGAGACAACTTTAGCAAAAGACTTTGAAAGAAGTTCTCCTCTAAGCAGCAGGACTTGTCAAACAGCAAAAACAGACCTTTTAAAATACCAATACGAGGCACCTACTTCCTACCAATTAAATCAGAATATCTGGGGACGGGTACAAGTGTTTTTAAAAGCTCCCTAAGTGATTCCAATGTGTGGCCAGAGTTGAGAAATACTGTTCTCAGGAAATATGAATTCCATGTTATTTTACACAGAGCTTTTATCCTTAGTTGGCTGAAAAAGTATTCATTTTATTCAGCCAATTTGTTAACAACCAAAGAATAAGATAAATAGGACCCTTCAAACACTAAAAGGGTATTATAAGTACACTTAACCTAATATATTTGATAAAAATCAAGAAAAAAAATTCCACTAATAATGTTTTGGGCAACACAGTAAGTTCAATTAATATGTGAAATATGCCAATGACCAAGGTATTTTCAAGGTATTTCAAACCCTAGGTTTTATAATCAGTGAAGTGGCACCATGCTTCCTGATGCACTCCAGAGCCCAATAATTTGTAAGAGCCACAGAACCACCCTGAAACAACTCTCAACCTTGAAAACTGAAAGCCCTTTAGGTGTCATTAGAAAAAAAATTAAATAAACACACTTAAACCAAACTTTATAGTTGTACAATTGCCGGCAAAACAAATCTTGTCATGCTTTCATGTAGAGTATATCACTGAACAGTCAAGATTGTCAGAACTTTGAAATTCAAACTCATGCCTCCATTTTTATATTTGGCTACTTGACAGTTTCACAGGAAAACTATGAAGCTTTACAAGCAAGTATTAAAATACATTCTTCTGGTACTCAAAAATACTACTACTATCCTTTATTCAAAACTCTTGAGGATAAATGTGCTTCAGAATTTTTTTAAGTTTAGAATGATAATAAAGTGTTCATACTCAAACATTCCCTAGAGCAGGGGTCCTCAAACTTTTTAAACAGGGGGCCAGTTCACTGTCCCTCAGACAGTTGGAGGGCCGGACTGCGGGCCCCAGGAGGAGTCGGCTGCTAAGTGGGATAGGCAGTGGGGGCAAAAACACACGGCGGGCCGGATAAATGTCCTAGGGTCTAAATCAGCCCAATAACAAAACAAATATTCCAAGAGCAAAGCATGACTATTTCCAAAGTGAGATGAATATTTAGTACCCTCCTCTCAGTACAAATCAACAAATTTATTTTGCATCAAACATCTGAAAAAACTTTTTTCCCTCCACAGCCAGAGAAGGTGAGATGAAAAAACTTTTTCAAGAGCTTTAGATGAACCTGTAGTTCTGGACTTCTCTTTGATATTCAAGACATTGCAATTAGGCTTCAGAAAAAGGTTATTATGATGAAAACATTCTTTTAATGCGACTGTAATTCTAAAGAAACAACTCAGGGGAACAGGGGGGAAAAAAGAAGAAACAAGTTATTAGAGTAACCCCATGAAAAAGGTCCAGTAGTGCCCCACAATGTTCTTAATGGTTTGAACAGCATTTACCTGTCACCCTTAATTTCCATAAGGCAATTTTGGGCAAGACCAAACAAATACATCACCATTACATATGCTTATTTACCAATTAATCCAAATCTGAAGCAGAGAGGCAAACATAAAGTAAGGGCAAATTAATGCCATGGTTTACCCAGCTTTTTCTCCAGCAATATGAAAACAACATAAGGCTGTGAAACTAAACAGATCAACGTTCTAACCCAGGCTCAACCACACAGGAAAATTACTTATATGCATAGTCTAACATACCCCAGTTTCTTCAATTATAAAATGGGGATAATAATAGCACCTATCTCACTGAATTTTTAAGAATGTTAAATAAAGTATCATTTGAAGACCATGACTTAGAAATATATAGTACTCTCTCCTATAGAACTACTTAGACTTCTCCAAAGACCACCTATATGCTGAAGGGGGTCAGTAAGTCATGCCTGTAAATTGTCAGCAAAACCCAGCACAAAAATGTAACTTCCAAATTACAAAAACCCAGTGTATACTAAAATGATGGCTAATTTCTGAAATCAGAGCAGCTTCTCAAAACACACTGTAATCAAGCCTACTCTTCTAATACTCTATCATCTTCTACACAACCAACTGCACACACAGATAGGTGGTAAGCGAAAATAAACTACTACACTGAAAAGTGGACCCTTTTAATTCTAAATACAACTGCCAGCAGAAAGGCCTAGGTTTTGCAGGTAAGAGAATCCATTACAGTATTTACACTTCATCACTTAAGACATAATCACTGTTTAAAGAACTCCCATAGTTTAAATGCACTTAGGAAATAAGGCACAACAGTCCAAACTCCAAATTTCATTAACTACTTACTGAATAAAAAAACAATTAAGACTAGTAACTTTGGGCAAATGTTTGCATTTAATGGATTTTTAAAGTTTTTGTCAGATCTACAAAATGATGGAATCCTTTGTTGCTATATATCCAAAATGCAACTTATTTTAGTCTCACTTCAAGATTACAAGGCACTGAATTCTTCTAAAAGAAAAATAAAGTTCTGTGCTGATTTGTTTGATGTTCATTGTTAACAATGTTCTCAAAGTAGAGTGCATAACCTGAACAACCTAAGCCATTTCCACATCCAATCTAGGAGAAGATATTTAAGCAAGCTAGCATAGCTTTCGTGAAATATAAAGTTTTCCCTAGATGTTAATACTCAAAACCTACTCCTTACTGTTATCCCAGTAAGGATAGATAACCCATAGATAACCCATTAGTTCCTCCCAAGTTTCATCAGTTTTAAGAATGTCACCTGCCATATGTCCTAGTAGAGTGCAACATTACCCTGACATAAAAATGAATATGAAAGGAATCTGTTTTTTGTGACGCTGTGCAATATAAAAAGACACAAGCTACCTCACAGGCTACCTACAAGATTAATTAAAGGAGACTTAATCCTTAATACTTGCACTTTTCCCGTCATAAACAGGAAACTCCAAAGAAAAGGAAATGGAGAAAAGCCTATTTTTGCTAAGAGGAATAACAGCATTGCTTCCAACCCCCACATGGAGTGAACAAATGAAAAACCAACGGGAGGAAGTGACGGGGTGGGCGGCTGGTGAGCTCAGCTGGAGTCCTAAACATGCCACCCAAAGCACAGAATGCCCCAAATCGTCTGTAATAGCTGCAACAGGGAAGCGAGGGTCGGGGACCGAGGGCCGTGACTTACGGAGGAAGGCTCAGAGTTGTGCCTGCACATTCCGTTTCTCCCTTCAAAACTCTTCTCTCACCACCCGATTCCCAACCTCCCCATCCCATCCCGCTCCCTTCATAAAGAAAAATAACCCAATAAAAGCAGAGGCAGAGTAGACAAAAGAGGCCAGAAGAGGATGCAAGGAGCGTCCGGAACAATGGGGAAGACGGTACGAGCCAAACTCCTGAGGACAATGAAAGGAGGCGAAAAGGCACCGAAGGAAACGCCTCTGAGCCCGGGCCGGGCCAGCGGGGGAACTCCTGGACTCGAGGCCTGGACCCGTGGTCGGTGTCACCCCGGACGCCGCGGGCTGGGCTGGGCCAGGACGGGCGGGAGCCGCAGGGCCCGGAGGCGCTGGCGGGGCCTGCTCAGGTCCGCGAGCAGCTGCCGGTGGGACTCACCAGCATTCTGGTCTCGGGGCCAGAGGTAGTATGTGGCCGGGATCACGATGAGCCCCACGAAGGAGGTGAGGAAGTAGAAGAAGGTGTTCCCACTGTCATCGTACTGGAACTGCTGCCCGGCCATGGCACCCCCTCCTCCTCCACAGTGTCCTCTCCGCCGCCGCCACGACCCCGCTCTGCACTCCGGCTCTCAACGCCCAAACCCTGCGTGGCGTAGCTCGGACGCCGCCGCCGCCTCTCCTCCCCGCCCCCACGCTACCCTTTACGGACACGCCGCCGCCGCCACCGCCGCCGCTACCGCCGCCGCTACAGCCGTCGCCAGCTCTCGCGAGAGGAAATAGTTCCCGCCCCGCTCGGTTTTTTTTCCTCCCCCTGCCTGTCCCCAGCGCGCTCGCTAAGGGAGACGTGGCGCGCGCAGCAGTAGAACTCTGCGAGGTCACGCCCTTGGCCCCGCCCCAAGACACGGTCCCGCCCACGAGCTCCTCTAGCCCCGCCCCAGGGGCCCGCCCCTAGCCCCACGCCCCACAGTTAGTCCCCCTTTCTCCTCAGCTGCCTTTCTTGGGCCACCTATCCCGATCCTGCGTGCAGGGTCCCAGCGAAGGCTTCAGCGACTAGCCGGAGGCGCGGGCACTTCATCTGGATGAGACTGGGGTCTGAGCTATTTGGAACAGAACTGAGGCTTCCTTACCTCCGCCTTTCTCCCTTCCCTACTCCAGTCTGACCTGCCCTCTCAATTAATTGCCCTGATTAATCCTGTTTCCTTAGGCTTTGGATCCGCTCTCCAGCCCCCCAGGTTGGAAACAAGTGTCATTTAGTAAGGGGGAAAGGGTTGTTGTAGTTGTGTTTGCTATTGAAACAACTGCGACCTACGCTGCGCCCATTTTGCAGATGGAGATTTCCCAAGCCGGTACCAAAGGATGGTGCCCTCCGCATCACAGAGCTGCTAATATTAACAGCCATCAGTTAGCTAGCGCCCCGCACGACTCAGGCCGTAGGCTAAGAACTTTGTATCACGTAATCGTCAGTAAACCCCATGGAATAAAGCCAAGCATGCCCTCTCTACAGATGAGGAAATTAAGGCTCAGAGAGATTGTCCAAGGTCACGCACGGTAAGAGAAGGTCTAGGGATTCAAAGCCACACAACTCTGACACCAGAAATGCTGGTGCCCTTGATCGCTAAGTTCGTTACCTTGGACCTTAGCGTTTCCTTAGAGCGGATAGCACACTGCCCGCAGTCTTGGGAGCCTCTGCCTTCCCCGGCTGTGGGATCCCAGAAGCCAGGGTTAGCCAGCCAGGCAGGGAGCCGGGCTTATGAGCTGATCTCCTAATGGCAGTAGCTTTGGCTGGGGCCTGTCTCAGCCTCTCCTTTACCCCTCTGTGGGTCAAAAGGATACCCTGCCCTGGTTGTGGAGATTAAAGGCAACAATTGTGAAAATACTTTTCAAAGGAAAAAAAATATGTAATAGGTAAATGCCAAATATTACAGTATATTTTTTAAGACTCATTTTAAACTTTATTAAGTAAATGCTGTTCAATATTCCTTCCATCATCGGAAGAGAAATCTGGTCTCTCTTATTTCATGTCTTCAAAACTAGCATTTACCATGAGCAGTAATGCTTTCCTTTATAATAGATTTATGTTCTCATGTATACTGTCTTCTCTTTCATGTTTCATGTCTACACACTTTGAAAGAAAATTCCTAACCATTGTTTTCTCTCATCATTTCCCACCTCCCTGTTCTCTGGGTAAAGTTCCCAACGCTGTATCAGAGGCAGGTAAATAAAACAGATAATTAAAGGAAAGGTTGGACTTTGAAGTCAACACAGCATTATGTTCACCTAACACGGATATACCCAGAAAAAATAGTCACAAACTGGGCTCAACTGAAATGAGTAGGATCCCGAATTTCCTTTTGTTTATGTTGAATTTATTCAATTTGTTATTAAGTCTTCCCAGGCCTTCATAATGTTGAACTGTTTTCTTTTTATTACTCCAATTATATTCAGCATTTGTGTAAAGTTAATATATCGGTTTTATAACCTTGTGGCAATATAAATTATTAATGATAAATATTCTCCTTTTGACTTTCTTTCTGCAAGAGTAATCTCTTCACTGCAGCTTTAAGCTCATGCATGGGAGTGTTTGAACCAAACTTAACCATGAAATAATACTTTGAACAAATCATATTAATTTGCTAAACTCCAAACCAATCTGAAATATGAATTCTTTGCCAAAAACTTGAAGCTGTGTCCTCTGTTTTCAAAAGCATGAATACATTTTATTCTAGAACATAACATTACTAAATACAGATAAACTCAGACCACCCAAATAGTCTCCAAAGCAAATCTAAATCATAGCTTTAATTAATTTCATCACGATTTTTTATTACTGTGATGTTTCTAACACAACACAATTGTTTGAAGAGATCATTAAATGAAATATTTCATAAAAATAAATGAACATGGAAGAAGCAGAGCTACAAACACATCTTGTTCTTAGTCACATGTTAAAAGGCATTTTAGTATTGTCTGTATATGTGTCTGTAAGTGAATATTTTAATCTATTTCATTTCAGTCCTAGGAAAACATCTCAAGTGTAGAAAACCTGACTATTTTTAGGTTCCTTTGATTTTTTCCTTAGAGTGATTTCTTTTCTTTCTTATATATTGCCCCTGTACTACTAGTGTTGACTTACCTATAGACATATCAAAATACATTTGTGTACCCATAATCAACATGATTCAATTATCTGCTTCATGCTGTTAGCGTCAAAGAAACTGGGAGGAACTGAATTATTAAATAGGTACATGCCATTATTTTCAGTCTTCTTCCCCTTCCCCCACACTACAATACACCATAGCCTTTACTGCCAAAACCTATCAAATCATCTATATTATTAAAACCCTCAGGAGCATGTTTTAGAGTCAGGATTATTTTCATTAAGAGGCTAAATTTTCTCGGACCAATTCTTTATTTGTGCTTCATAAAAAATGAGAAGTTGTTGCCATCATGATAAGAACAGTAACATCAATGAAGTAACATCCGTACAACACGTAATCTACAAAAGTCTTCTACAACATTATTCCAGTTGAAATTTCAAATCGTGACGTATGTGCTAGAACTCTGACTAGGTAAAAGCTAGTCATTGCAATCCTTTCATTTCCTAACCCACTAAGACCCTTCAGACCCAACAAAACTGCAGTCTCATACCTGGAGAGAATGTAGGTAAAGCAAAGTGGGATTTGGAAAGACAGTAAGAGTAAAGTCAATTCTGAATCCATGAAAACATTTCTGAAAAGAGAATTAAGGACTGTAGTTGTCCTTTAGTGTTGGGAGCAGGTTTGTGTTGGTCCTCAAATCTGAAATATCTGATTTCAAATCGAAACTTTGTTTATTATATCTCAAACAAGAAGAATACAATTAAATAAAGGATGCGCCAAAACTGTCCACACAGTTTTGCCATTTTAATGGTAGCTTGCATATGCCAGCAGTGAAGAAGCCCGAGAGCAAGTGGTGATGAAATCACACCAAAGGTGTTTTCCGCAGCTTGTTGAGAATTCTATACTTTTCCTTTAAAAAGTGATCCAAATCCTGGAAGAAGTGGTAGTCAGCTGGTCTGGTGAATATAATGGATGACAGAGTTTCTGAGTCCCGCTTCTGTAGTTTGAGCACCTGTTTGTGAGCACAGCGTTGTCTTACAAGAGGAATGACCTACCTCTGCTAACCAAACTCAGCTGCTTAGTCACAAGCATCCTCATCGCGTCATCCAGCTGGTTGCAGCAGACACCCACTGTAATGGATTCACCAAGTTTCATGAAGCTGTAACAGAAAATACCAGCACTGGACCACCAAACAGACACTACCAGCTTTTACTGATCAATATTTGGTTTGGGACTGTGTATCAGCACTTCTTTCTCCAACCATTGTGCTAAACACTAGGATTGTCTAAAAGAATCCATTTTTCATCACATGCTAACAATACAGTGTAGAAATGATTTGCCTTTCTGTTGTGACACCAAAGAAAGGCAAGCTTCCAGATGATTTCTCTTCTGACTTTTGTTTAATTCATGAGGAACCCATCTATCCAGCTTCTTTACCTTAGCAATTTGTTTCAAGTGGTCCAAAATTGTTAGAATAGCAACATCAAACCTTGCTGCTAATTCACATGTAGGTTAAGATGGATTAGCGTCTATTGACAGCTTTCAGTTCACATTATCTACCACGGTTTCAGGTCAGCCATGTGGCTCATTTTTAAGACTAAAATCACTGGAATGGAACTTCTCAAACAATCGACACACTGTGCATTCATTAGCCACGTCCTCCCCGAACACATCTTTGAGATTTTGATCTGTCTGCCCTGCATTTATTCCATGATGGAACACTACACAGAAATAACACAATTTTTTTTGACTTATCCATGGTTTCCAAAAATTACTTAAAAATTTTTTTTGAACAAGAATCAGAAGGCAAAGCATGCATTTGAAAAATAAGGATGTGGGCGGCGCCTGTGGTTCAGTGAGTAGGGCGCCAGCCCCATATACTGAGGATGGCCGGTTCAAACCTGGCCCCAGCCAAACTGCAACAAAAAAATAGCTGGGCATTGTGGCAGGTGCCTGTAGTCCCAGCTACTC